GAAATTATAAAAGTGCAAAGAAATTACTGTGAAATCAGACTAGTGATCATGTCTAGGATGGAAGGATATGGACTTTGGGACAAACACACAGGGGCTTCTAAAGTATCAGCATTGTTCTGTTTCTTGCCCCCGGCAGTGATAACATGGGTATTCACTTTATAATTACTCATTAACAAAATAGCACGTTTTAGCATATTTATGAATTTATTTCATATTTTTTAAAGTGAAAAAGGTATTGTCTCCTAAAGTAAGTGGCAACGTTTACATGAAAATGTAGATTGCTTCACTGTTCAGTCCTAGGAATTCTTATATCCATTTGATTATAATTCAAGATTGGGAATAAATAGAATCAAATTGAATCTATAATTTATTCTAAAATATTCTCGGGGTCAAATTCATCTCCCTATTTTGTATTACCTATAAAAGAGTTAAAGTTGGACATATAAGAAGGAATATCTCCCTGTATTTCTTTCTTCACCTTCCCATACCCCACTCGTGTTTTGTTCAGATGTATGTCAAAGTCATCCTTGAAGAGACACCAGATGCTGCAGGTCTACTGGGGTTTAAAGTCAGTTAATTGAACTATAATTTACATAGAGTAAAAGTCACCATTTTTAGATACACAGCTCTATGAGTTTTGACAGTAATGCAACCACCACTATAATCAGGATATGGAATATTTTCATTTTATCTTTTATCTGGCTTTTATCTTCTGTTTTGTTTTTCTAGTAATATGTGTATAAAGTAAAACAAAAACCCTTTAAACAGATATGTAATGTCATATTTTTGCCAGAAAGATTTTATCACGTTATTTCAAGGAGTTAAGGACAATCTTTCATGATTCCTAAGAATTGTTCCCTTTCGCTGCAGCAAGGCCAAAAATTATAATTAACAAATGGTTTGTATCACTGTCTCGAAAGCAAAGGATGTCTGTTATTATAATACTTAATGCATGCTATCTGAAACAATTAGCAGTTAAGCATTCTTTTATTTTCTGTGGTTTATAGATTGTGAAGAATGAGCTTTTAGAGAAGTACTACAAACATGGGAGCAAATTTCTGACTTCATTTCCAGATGGGACAATGCAAATATTGTATCCTTTCTTGCAATAAATTATTCTTATTAGCTTTATTCACAAAAAGACAAAGAAAAAAATNTAGACTTTTTTTATGCATAGGCTTTTGTCGACATATTTGTAATTATATTATATTTGTAATTTTATCTCTTTTTAAACTGAATTATAAAAAATATGTTCCATGATATTATACAGCTTATATTAACATCATTTTAATATCTATGTGCTTTTTCATATAGGTTATCTAGCCATTCCCTTGTTATTGGACATATAAGTTATTAACAATATTTTTTATTATACTAAATAATATTGCTTTGAATGTCTTTGTGTATAAGTTTATTTTTATATAAGTATAGTTCTCAGAATAGATTCCTAGAAATTAAATTACTGAGACCAGGTTTGTTTTGGGTTACATAGAAGGGGTGGCAGTGAACTGAGGTGCCTGACAAAATCAAACCCAAATTCTGTCTGGGGAGAGGTCACTTATGCAGCCCTCAAATTATTCCTATAGATTATCTTTCAAGTTCAATTACCAGCACACATGAAAAAGAATCAAGAACAGGGAGCTGGCAGAGTGGCTTAGTTTGTTAGAGCACGAGCTCTGAGCAACAGGGTCACCTGTTCGATTCCCACATGGGCCAGTGAGCTGCACCTGAGTGGAGCTGTCACTGAGCTGGTGAGAGAGTGTGCTCTTAGCAGCAAGGTTGCTGGCTCGACTCGCATGGGATGGTGGACTGCACATGCGTGCGTGCGCACACACAAACCCCTGCAAGTAGATTGAAAGCAGCGACTGGACTTGGAGCTGAGCTTGCGTCTTCCACAATTAAGATTGAAGGACAACAACTTGACTTGGAGCTGACTGATGGGTCCTGGAAAAACACAATATTCCCCTTCCCCAATTCTCCAACACTGTTCCCCTCCCCAATTTCCAATAAAATCTTAAAGAAAAAGAAAAAAAGAATCAAGAACACAAGAAAATTTAGTACCATAATTGAAAACCCAGAGGAATAATATCCAATAATAAAAGACCTGCAAATACTTTGGAAATTGAAGTAATCTAACTGTGTTTGTGAAAATGAAAGAGCAGCTTAAAGATACATGGAGGGAAGAAAACTATAAAGCGACATAACAGGTTAAAAAATAAAAAGAAATTAACTTATAGAAATAAAAACCAACAACTGGAATTAAAAACTTAAAAGATGATGGGCCGGCCGAGTGGCGCATTGGTTAAGAGCTGGCTTGGGACACCAGCTCTGAGCAGCAGGGCCTGGTTCAGATCCCACATGAGGGCCAGTGACACTGCCCTCTACAGTTAAGATGCTGAACAACAGCTCGACCTGGAGCTGGGCTGCCATGAGTCCACCGGCGATGGCATAGGCTGCAGACCCTGCTGCAGTGGGCTGCCATAAGCTACCGTGTGTCACCGGCGGCCAGCAGCCGGTGTGAGCTGCCAAAAGCCGCCATGAACAGCTGTCCAGAGGCCGGCTACCGATCTGCCTCACCTGGGAAGAGCACAATGATAATACCAACATGGGCCAGTGAAGCAACGTCCTCCAC